AAAAAAAACTAGATCGATAGTATACTTCCTAATTACTATCTAAGTTACATTATCGAAAAAAAAAAAAAACCTTGAAAATGATAGCAATAGTCGACTATTGTAAAACTATAAATAGTACTATCAAAAGTCGACTATCGGAAAACTATCGGTATTCTAGTCATAGTCGACTATCGGAAAACTGTCAGTAGTACTGTCGATAGCCGAACATAGACATCTGCGAAAATCGCCTTCTGCGCTGCCATCTTTGTCTGCTGGGCGGTGGAACGCCCTATGAGCATGCGCTGTTGCTCTGCTGTGCGGTAAATCAGACGCTGCGCATGCGTCCTCAACTCAGTGACTCAGCATTTTTTGGTCGGGTGATAAGCGATTCAAAGGTCTATAGTAAAACTATGGTGCCTGGAGCGCGTCTCTGACTGGTGGGTTTACCGCGTTCAAAAAAGTGGTCCCTCGATTTCCGCCTGGTGACGTCATAAAAGTGTTATGCTGTCGCCGGTCGCGATCCTGGCGGTGTTCCAGCAGCAGTGGTAGATGTAGCAGACGCCTCTTCTGCTGCAGGTCGCTTTCTGGTGTGACAGTCCACGGAAGCTTCAGCAGCCAAGAGTTGGGACGCCGTGACGACAGCAACACTCGCCTTCGCTCGTGCTTTTCGCCAGCATTTCTACGGCCTACCGCCAGGATCGCGACAACCACCAGCATGACGCTCCGGCCTCTGTGACTTCATTTGTTGCCACTTCGGGACCAGTTTTGATGTATGGCCAGGATATGACGTTAAACACACCAGTCGGAGACGGGTTCCAGGCACCATAGTAAAACGTTCGACAGTAGACCACCGTAAAAGTATCGCTAGTATCAATAATCAATTTATCGATCGTTTTTCGCATAACTAATGCCAGGTCCTCACTTAAACTCAAAAATAGTTCGTGCTGTCACCGTAGTTGGTGCGTTGACGCTGGTGCTGTCTTGTTGTGCAGTAGAACTACAAAAAAAAAAAAAAAGAACTTGACCCCCCCCCCCCCCCCCTTTTTTTTTTAGTAATGTTTCGGGCTGTGGACACTCGCAGTGCAGCTGATTTTTATCACAAGTGAATTAAGCCTTCATTTCGTGATTACAAAGGGTCACAACGTTTGCGGGAAGTTAAATCACTACGTCTATAATTTTTAGCTACCAGCTAGCGAGTTTCTTTAAGAAATTCCAGCTTTTCCGCATGCGCTAGTTTTCGCATTATTGCTTTTCTTAGGGAGGATCCGGAGTCTGCTCATCGACAGGTGACCCTTTGTCGGAAGTTTTCGCTCCCGGCAAACGTAGTGTGTACGGACCGAATGACTGACATCATAAAAATCGGTCGATCATATAAAGCAAATATGATTTTTCAGCAGTGTTATTCAACGAAATAAGCAGTGAGCTGATAATGAATGAAATCGAATTTCATATTGTGTTACCGCATGTAGTGTACTGTTGCTAAAAAATCTACCGATATAAACATAATATTTTGAGCGTATTTGTCCACAAAATCGTGCCTGTTTTTTTTTGTTTTTTTTATTTTTTTTTTACGAACAATTTATTTAATTAGAATAAAAACGTAGATGCCAACAGCGACTGCTCGGGGTTAACTTGCGTTTTGATGTGCCGTCTGCAAAACATTTCTAAAGTCGGAGCGCTTCAAACAATAAGCCCCGAGAAGTTCGCGTGGCGCCCCCTTACGGCGAACCGGGGTGACGTCACGGCGAGGAGAGATTTTTTCCCCGACTCGGCCCGCTCGCCCTGTGGAGGCTGTGACGACGCTAGCTGACAGCGCGCTCGTTTCTATTTAATTTTCTTTTGCGTGTTTTTCGTAGGAAGTGGAAATTTTTATATGAGCCTTTATTGAGGTATGGCCTGTAGCTACAGGCGAAACTTCAACCAACATTTTACGCATGGTTGACAGGGCAGGCAACGCATGAATCACAGCTGGTATATGAAAATAAAGAAATATGGACATAATTGCAGGAGCATCACTATAGATTTACATTTTGCACAATAAATGCTGCTGATGGTCTCAATGAATTGGCAGGATATGCATATTATTATTTTTTTTGTATCTGTTTTTAAACAAGATCGCCGAAGCAGAAAAGCTGCATGCTGCTCGAGCAACATGTTAAATACAGTCTGGGCCATGAAGAGAGAATTACAAGTAAGACAGCCCAAGTGCACGGGCAAAGTAAAAAAAAAACAAAAAAACAGGGAACATTTATTATACACATTGCTCGCATTTGACCTTTGCTGGATTCGGATAGTATTTCAATGGACTACACGGGTGGTATCTGTGGACTTGTTTATATCAACTCTCAAGTAATGTATAACAAACGTAAGCGAAGGTGTCTAGCTCGTTTAGCCCCTTAAGCCCTAAAATTGAAATTTTACTTAAATCGAATTGTCCTGAAGCTAAAATACCAGAATCTTTTCTCACGCAGACTGTCGCCCTTCACAGGTTCCACATTTTCTGCTGCTAGTGCTGCATCTACCACTGGACAGACGTTCGAATGCTTGCTTTTACTCCTGTTTGCCTCTGATGTCAGAGAGTAGAGCTCTAGGGAGTTTGGAGGCTGAGGAAGCTTCTGGGTACCTGCAGCAGTGTTTCTTTTAATTGGAAATGACAATTCAGACTAAACGGTGTATTTTCGGAATACCCAAGGCTGGAATAAAGAATGTCAGGAAAAAGTATAAACATTGCATATTACGGCACTATTGCCGTGCATAGTTTGGCAGTTCAATACATATCATACAGACAACTGGGGGCAATTCGGCCGTTTTTGCTGCTACTATACAAACTAATTTCCAGTAACTGTGCAGCTTCTAAGAAATATGCCTGCATGCGTGTGTAAACTATATAATTAATTCACGAAGAAGCTACATTTATTGAAAACAACCCTGTTCCACGAGCACTTTCAAGATCATCAGACGCAGGGCCTTTAAAACATCTGCGAACCAGCGCATGCAGAGTGGCAGCGCAGAGTCAGGGTCGCGAGCTAATTCGCCGACCACCCAAAGGCCCATGATATAAATGCCAATTCAAATGCCTTGAAAGCGGGATGTAATATCGTCTTAAATCATAAACGTGCAAGGAATAGAATTCCAGCGTCTGAAACACTCGCGCCACCGCTTCACCGACCCCTCGCAAGATTGCCTTGTGTCGTGTGGACGAACGGGGAGGTACATCGGCGGAATTACCTCCGCCGATAGCTTTCGGGATTTTTAACCCAATTTTAAAGTGAAAAGGGACAAGCAGGCTTATAAAATGTACGGAAGCACGTCAATACGGCTTAACTCAAGGTCTTGCACACCAGGTAAACGAAGTCCAGCTCCTCGGAGAGCTTGCGGCACACAACGCCAAACCAGGAAACCGGTGCTGGGAAGCGAGCCGATGCAAGATCGCGGGGCGGAGTACTCCCCCTGACGTCACGGTACACCTCGCCCAATCCGGGCGCGGCGACCGCAGCGACGCTTGTGTTCGCTCTCGGGGCTAATAGAGCGCGGCGCCCGCATTTCCTCCACCGCCAACCAGCAAAACGCCGCCCGTTCACCGTCGCCTTTCTGTCTGAAGCGGCGAGCGAGCGAGCTCCCGACCATCAACTCGCCTCACCACCGGCGTCTGCCTCAATGTAGATGACGTTGGAAATAATTTTTTCTCCCTCCCGACCATTCAGATCCAGCTTCCTTTTTTCTCTGAAACGTAACGAAGAAAACGGCCAACCAAACGCTATTTGCACAAACCGCGCTATCAAATAACACCAAGCAGCGAGCCTTAGATCGCACTAACTCCTTCTTTCTCACCCGTTACCCAATATTCAAACCGCACCAAGCATCTGCGCGGCAAGCGTCGGCCCCACTTCCCAGGGGCCAGGAGATGCCGCGAGAGGTCACAATACCCGCGCGCAAACGCAAGCGCTTCATTTTAGCTCAGAACCCTCACGAACCGATGCCCCTTACTCCCCTCACCGCCCTCACGGCCCTTACGCCCCTCACGCAGTCAACGCCCTCACGCTTCACATGGTCCACACGCTTCCCACGCACTCATGCCCTTCACGCACTCACTAGCCTCACACCCCTCACGGTCCGCCCCTCGCACACTCATACCCCTCACGCACTCCGGGTCCTCACGCTCTCACCGCCCTCACGCACTCACGGTCTTCGCAACCCTCACGGCCCTTACGGCCCTTATGACCTCACGATCCTCACTCATCCTCACACTCATGAATTTTCGGGGTTCAGAAAACTCACCCTCATGAGTTAAGTTTCCCGAAGTATGCCAATAGAAAACAAATTCTGTACACAGGAAAACGCGCGATATTTGCCAATGAGCAAGAATTTCAACACTCCGAGTTTTTCGGATAACTCCGAATTGTAAAGACGTTTCCCTGCTTTCGAACAAATGCTTTACCCAGTCTTTTTTTTTTTTTAATTAGATTTATTTGAGAATAGAAGCTTCAGCGATAAGGAACGAAACTTTTGAGACCTACGCGTCTTTTGACCACCAACTCATCTCAATTTCATTTAATATATTTATTTATTTAACAAAGCGTTTTTGGCTGGTTGTGCACCAAATCGGCCAAACTCACCAGTAACAGCGTCCAAAAGCGCTATAAACCTTTTTTTTTTTTTTTTTTTTTTTTTTTTTAGCGCACCACTGTTTGAGAATAGATGCTTCAGAGATAGGGAACGAAACTTTTGTGATCTACGCGTCTTTTGATCACCAGCGCTTTTAACCATGGATCAATACACCACTACAGTTGTTGAATTTCACTACAATGATTATGAGGCCAGATTCAGAATAAGATCAGAAGCTTCGAGTGAGCACTCTCGCATAAAAACAGCCTCAAGTTTCGCAGTGCTTTGCGTCAGCATCAAACCGAAACCGAAACCGGTTTTCACGACACTTATTGTGCTTTCGCTAGATTTGGCGGCCACAATAAACCTGTTTTCGTTCGTCCGCTAACTTTCGTGTCGTCGTCTAGCAACCATACGCGCCCTCCTCTCCTGTTGCTGTCAGGGAGTTGTAAACAGGTGGCCTGTGGCGGTGCCCGTCTCTTTCCGAGATGACTAACTACGGGGAATTTAATTTGGACCTCGTAAAACAGTTTCTAATCAATAGAGGCGGGAAAGTTACAAACCCAGAACTAGTAAAACACTTCAGGCATTACCTGAACGACCCTGTCCATAAAGGTAAGCGACTTATTTGGTGCCATTGTTTAACGGTTTTTGGAGATCGGAATTTCCTTGTTGTTATCTCCTTACGCCGAACTTCACTGTTCAGCGTTTGATCCCGAAGGAACGGTGACCGCTAATGGCGATCAGCTAACTTAGTCTATTTTCGCGTATTGTTTCTCGCTTCTGATCTGAGTTCGTTGGAAATTGCTCTGCCTACACCTTTTATGTTCATTGATTCTATGCAGACGAGATCAGGTTGAAGTTCAAGGATTACGTGAACCGGCTAGCCTGCGTTAAAGAACAGAATGTGAGTATGATCTGAAGTTCCTTTCCGTCGGTTTCGCGGCTCTGTGCTCGCCCGGCTGCCCGATGCCTGGCGGTTAATCCTGCACTTCTAGTTTAGTAGGTCAATCTCCTCGGTTCCACGTGCACTGCCTACCGTTGCGCCGAGGGAAGCTCTAGCTAGCGAATCTGGGTGATGCTGCTCGTTTCAGTCCGGTTGTTGTCCACCGTTTTGTTTTTCCTCTGTGGAGTAATTTAGGGTGCGTTACGCACTGTCTAACTTGGATCCACCCTTCTGTTACGTAGCTTTTGAGTGCTATTACTTGTTTTGCTGCAGAAACGGACAATGTTAGTTGTGTAAAACAGTGAAAGGAGTGCTGGTGAAGGCTCGCCGTTCGCATGCACGAAGGAGCACGAACTGGCGCGAGATATTGCGTGAATGTCGGTTTCGCCCCAATACTGTCGATAACAGCAGTTCATAAAAATGTTGATACTCCACACCCAAGTCTTTTTATAACACTTTGGATCACGTTGGTAACGTTTTGTTTTGGATCACGTTGGTAACGTAATGTTTCTGTGGTTGTCAATACTCACTGTAAATTTGGGATTGGCGAAGTAAATGCTGTCCAAGTGAAACTATCGTGTCCGCTCGAGAGTCCGCCGTTAAAGGCCGAAATACAGCCTCGGTCTTCTGCAGGGAAGATTATCCCCTTAGAGCTCCCCTCTCCAGCTGCAAGGGGAGCCAACTGGGGGCAAGGTAAAAAGTGGAAAGGATATAGGAGAGGAGGGGCGGGCAAATGTGGAAAGCGTGAAGTGTACGTCGGCTTTTAACAGATACTGTCGATGTGTGTATATTACTTTCGAATTTTGGTATATCAGCACTGGGGACTGAACAGGAAGAAAGAAGACGATCTTTCGCATGCGATCACGGGGGCAATCGGACACCATCTTCTTCGAACGATTTATGTACTGCATAGCTCAGTGTAACACTATGTAAATAGGCATGTAATGATTAAAGGCACAAGGTACAGCAACTCCTCGTAGGGGAAAGTGGGTTGCCATTGTTTACTAGTCGATTTAGTTATTACGTGCATATTTACGTTGTGTTGCGCTGTGGTACACCGTACATAAATCGTCCGAAGAACACGGCGTCCGATCGCACGCGAGAGAGCGTCGTCTTTCTTCCCGTTCGGTCCCCAGTGCAGGTATATCAAAATTGGAAAGCGATATACACACATCGACAGTATCTGCTAACAGCGGACTCTCGAGAGGACACGACAGAAACCAATGTCATGGTCTTATGAGTTGTCCAAAATACCTCTCTCACCAATGTGAAGGATGGCTCACAGTGAATTCATTACGGCTATTTTTGCGGATTGTTGCGTTCACACTGTCGTGCCTGCATCATCGTTTTCTTTCTGCTCCCTGTCTCCCGCAGGGCGTGAAGTATCTGCTTCTGCGGAACGAATATGTGGACGAACTGTGCACGATGCCGCCCGACGTACCCCCGCCGCCGTATACACCTGCCCGAGCAGAGCCGGACTTGTGTGCCGCAGGGTTCTCACGACAGGAGACACCGTGCCTCGGTTACTCCACACCCCCGATCGGACAGACTCCACAAACGCCGCAGTGGCGGCAGTTTTCTCCCCAAGAAAACATCATGGTAGCGAACGAATGTCCCTCTCTGGCGTTGGCTCGGGCTCCACGCAACCGGTCGAGTCCATGTTTGCTCGAAGATGTCAGGAGCTACGAAGACATTCCGCCTCCCCTTCCCAAGAAGAAACACTCGTTGAACGGGAGCCCCACAAGACCGGAGGTTCCCCTCCCACCCCCGAGGGGACGCAAGAGTCACGGTCGCCGAGGGTCGCAAGTGGAGGAACGTGTACGTCAGTTCAGCGCCGAGAAGGAGCTTGAGGTGAGAGTTTCAAGGCGTGCTTTATTGTCATTTCTGGTGGTCAAAGGCATGGCTGATGGAAAACTCATCTTTACAGTAAGCTTCGCTCGCTAAGGCTACCTGCTTTTATGAGTGGGTCAGCTTGTTTTGTCCATGTCACCCTTGCAGCTGTTTGTATGCGTTTCATTTGAAGATTGAACGTGAGGAATGCCAATGTTCCTTCGGCGATCTCCGCATTTCACCTTGTGACGTCTAGCTTATGGCGAATTCCACTGGTCGTTTTGGAGCGCGCCGGGATAGACTTTTCTGGAGCGAGCCTACTTCGCTCGGCAATCGGGATCGAGACCGACGTGTTTCACTGGTCGTTTTGGATTAGCTCTCGCTCCAGATCTCGATCTGGATCCGAGAAAAGTCGCTCCGATGATTTCGGGGGATTCAACCGGAAGCCACCCGGGCCAGCCCTCGGCGCACACACGTGACTTCCTTTCTCGCGGGGCATCTCGCCTGATCTCACCTCAAAAGAAGAAGAAGCACGTCGCGGGCTGGGCTCCTAGATTGTCTCGACATCAGAAGAATTCGTAATGGCCGTTTGCTTACCCCTTGGCTCGACAGCCGGTTCGTTTTCCAGGAAGGAGAAGAGAAGGTATTTGCCGCGCTACGGGCATTCCGGCAATCTTTAACTAGAAGCGCCTGAGCCATCCCTGCCGCTCGTGCGTCGAACACGTGTTAGCGCCGCAATTGCGAAAACGTCTTCGAAACGACCGCGGCAGCAGCGGAAAGGGGATTCCCGGGCAGTTGAATGATGGGAAGGCATCCGCTGATCCTGGAGCAGTGGTCATGTTCCACTGGGGGTCCGTAGGCAGTGCGACCCCGTTCAGATCGTGTGCTCCAGTCCGGATCTGGTCAACTGATCCCGGTGCGCTCCAAAACGCCTAGTGGAATTCGCTATTAGACACGTGGTTTCCAAGAATGCCGCAGGTCTTGCAGACGCTCTTCGGCCACGAATTTGGGAATGGTTCATTGGCTACCAGTGCTTCACATGTTTGTTTTCCTTTTTTTTTTTTGTATTCGAGGCCTCAATTGAGTACTGTATAGATTGAAACATCACGGTTTTAGCTCAGTTACTTATACTCAAACTGTGCCCGAGAGCTCTCCGACCCTGCGACAACGAGGAATCGGTCGCCGCTTTCAGTTTGCTCTCTTTCCGTGTCTTTCGTATGTGAGCAGTGACAACTTTCGGTGGATAGAGTGAAATGGACAACTGCATTCCGAATGGAAGGTGGTGCAGACCGAAGCAACACCTCCTAGGGCAAGGCAGTACTGCTGGGTTTTCCACACCACCTATGGATGCGGGTGCTGCGTCCCAACCGAGCTTTCACGCAGCATTGGTGTCTTATCTTTGTCTCACATTGGCCTCCGGTAGTTGACGTAGAAAACCCAGCACTATGCCTTGCCATCTATTGTCAGTAACAGGTTAAGAACTCAGCAGACGCTCCGCCTCGAGCGCGAGCTTTCGATCTTCGATGACACTTCGTCGTACGCGCTGCCAACACCCGACGGAAGGCAACGGGCTCGTGCTGGAACCGGAGCTTCTGCTGGGTTCTGAGCCTGTCGCCGACTATAGACCAACACGCAGTTCTGACGTCACATCGATGCGGAGGTGCTGCCGTCGGCACGTCACATGCGCAGACGCTTTGCCTTGTGCAAATCTGGTTTCTGTGCACGCGCTGTGCACACACCTGGTGTGGGCAAACGCCGGCTTGTTTGTAAACAGCATGGTAGCATATAGGAGGTGTTGGTCAGAAACGAATCTATGCTCTTTCTTTTTTCGCGTACACGACGGGTACACTGTGATGGCAGTCCTTGTGGCTGCACAAAACTTGGAAATCGAGGAACTCGGTTCCCATGAAACTGAAGGTAAATACATGCCAGAGGAAACACGGAGAGTGAAACGTCAATTTAGTGCAAGGGTGGGAGTTCCACACTAATCCCATATATTATTATTATAGCGTATAAACAGTCGGGGGCCACTGTACTCAGCGGGCACTTATTTGGTATTGAAACGCAGACGCATGTGCAGCAGTGCTGGGGCAGCACAATCCTCTCGGATATGAAAGAGACTGCTGGCCTTCAACTGTTGAGACGGTCACAGTGCCGCATCGTCCTTGTTGCCGATACATACCCAGCTAGGATAGGCTTGCAAACAGCATGCAAAGATATCTGTCCGTTTTTGTCGAAAACGCTTTAGGAGGGACCCCAATGCTGTGCAGTTTGCTTCGCTGGTCCACAGTTGTGCATTCTCTTTTGCAACACAATTGTGTAGTGCACATAGCTGTTAAAGGGCAACTCCGCTTCAGTTTTGTTTTTGAAAAAACAATGCGGTCCTCCTCAGTATCCCCTAGGAAGACCACACGTCAAATTTTATGACGTAGTTCTGTCCAAGTGTTTCTTAAACGGTCCGGCAAACTTTGCAATTCGCCACGTTGCTGAAATCGGCTGGCTCGAGCGGGAAAATTGAGGCGCAACCAACAGCGCAATCAAGGCTGTGACGTGGGTGTAGCCAACATTGAGCTAAAAGTCACCTCATTGCCTCCTTTTACTTGTTTTTTTATTTCCCCGGGCATGCGTAATGGGTGTCGTCAGCGATGTTTCCTCTCGGTACTCCTGCGCAGTGCGGTTCTTGGGAGCCATCCGGCCGCCCCGTCATGATCCCGCTGTTACCGTCGTCTTTCGCGTCACAACCGCCGTCGTCGTTTCACCGTTTATGATTATTGTCTCACACTACGGACATTATGTGCACAGACTTATGCCACAGTTGTTCAGACATCGTCGAATGTCGTAGTCACCAAAACGTGGTGAAGAGTGCGGTGCAGACGACGATTGCGCCTGGCACATGCCTGTCCACAATCCCGCCCGTCGTTGCACAGAGGACCATGTGACATCTCATACCACGTGATAGCCATGTTCTTGGCGACCCGAGGCCAATGTTGCCGAACGTAGCCGAAGTTTCGGTTTCAATTTCTGCTCGTGTTTTAAATTAGATTTAAAAATATATATCATTTTAAATGACGTAGTGTCTTTGCTAGAGCTTTTTAATGCAAAATCACTCATTATCCTGAAATCTTCAAAATAGACTGGAGTTGCCCTTTGAAGGACGCGCGTGATCAAAGGCCAAAACTGCGGTCGGAGCTGCTTAACGGCAAAAGCGGATGTGGAGCATAAAGAGAAAACAGTGGCGTGGTGCTCCCATATCGCATCAGCAGGTTGCACCACCTGCTGCACTTTGCCACTCTACATGCTGCATAACTAGGCTGCTTGTTTTCCTGTGTTTATTTATAAGAAAAGTGTGCAATGTTTCTTAGTTTGTTTATTTTGAAAAAATGGGTGTATTTTGGCAATTCATTTCAGGCAGGCACTGAAAACTGTGATTATAAGTGCAAAAAGATTGCAGATATACACGAAAAAAGTTAATGAAAGGCAGAGTGTTAAACTGTCATTTACAGTTGGTACAGAGACCTTATAACGCCTCATGCATATCGAAATGCAACGGTGCTTGCAAACAACGCAAGGCAAGTCCCAAGACGGGTCAGAGTCCAAGTACTTTTTAACGCAATCATGTGGAGCTTTTAATTTTCTTTTTATCCTGCTACCCTTTGTCGTGTCCTCAATCAAAATTTTTTGGTCACGAGAAAGGCTAGTTTTAGTTCTTTTGCGAGATTCAACCGATAACGACTGCCAGTGTAGTCTCGAACACTGTCGTCCAATCCTGACCTGAATAGAACAAAGACATTGTGACCGCCTGTGGTGACTGACTGAGTGACCTAACTGGCAGGCCTGAGGCCACTGTTTCTAATGGCAGTAATTTCACTGATTCGGGACTGGCAGGGTGCTTGATTCTACGTAAGATTATGTGCCCGAGGAATGACTAAAGGGGGGAGGGCTTTGACGGAAAAAATTATTGTTCAAAACCTTTTTTCCAGAAATGTGTTTTTTTTGTTTAACATTGGAAATTCTGTGGCCTAGGGTTCTGTGTTTTTGGATAAATCCTAAAAACTTAAAAAAAAAATAAATAACAACAAATAGACTCACTTTTAAAATTTTCGTCAAATCGGAATTCGATGAGCTCAAACTTTCGACGTCACAATCTAAGAAAACAAAACGGCATTCTATAACCAAGTTTGTTCAGATCATAGGGTCAGTGGTCCCGGGAAAAGGCCACTCCAGTTTCCATCCATATCTCCAATCACTGACAAAAGGGATTTTATCGTTTATCTTGTCAAAGTTCGTTCAGGCCAGCTGGTCATTGTGCACATAACTTAAGCCGGAGACAAAAGGATGACAATAGGGGACAAACACATATCAATGTCTCATAGTACTTCTGGTACATAGTACTAAAGCCACTCTTCCAGTTTCTAGTTCAAACCATTATATTTGTGCTCCTTAGGGGAAGGAGGGTAAAAGTAATGAAAGACCGATTGTGAAAGTTGGGTTAAAGTTCGTAAAAGTGAAATCTGTGAACCTGTAGTGTATACTTTATGGCATTGTGTGTGTGGTGGGATGGGGACAAAACAAGCTTCCCAGCGACTGTTTCCAGGAGTTAAGTGATTTAGAAGTATCCACGTTATTGAAGCAGCACTTGTTTGCGAGATTGCTTGTGGGACACTTGGTATTGGCAACGGCAAAGGCACCTACGCCAAATCCGACTGAAAAAAAAAAATTTGATTCAGTCACATTTTTTTTGTACTTCTATCACTCGTTACTATGCAAGGATATTATTTATTTTTAATTTCGTAAAATGGAGAACGCAGCAAAATTTACCTCCGAATTTTGGTGAATTAGGAATCTAACAAAAATAAACTCGGAATTTTCAACAAAATATTAACTCCGAAAAACATCCTCCGAATTCGACGAAAAATAAACTTTGAAAACCATGAACCTTACCTATAACCTAGCGACTACTTTCACAGCAAAAGATCAGAACATTATTATTTATAGTGCCTACAAACGGCTAATAGCGTAAT